TATATGTATATGTATATATATATATGTATGTAACAGTATATATATATATATATATATATATATATATATATATATATGCTTATTTTATTTTATTTACCGTTAAATTAGTAGTTTTTAACCAATAATTTTTATATAGCTTCTTAAAATCTTCAGATTCTTTCACTTAAAACTGTAAAGCTGCTTTGAGACGCAATGACAGCAAAGAAACACCTCAAAAACCTCCACAAGATTCAGCTCACTTTCTTCAAAAGGTGAAGGCGCTTTGAGCCGCAGCATGAAGCCAGTGAGAATAAAACGAGCTCCAGCACTCACCACGAGGTTCCCGATGACCATGACCAGCATGAAGACCAGGATGCAGAGCGGCTGGCCCGCCACTTCCATACAGTCCCACATGGTCTCGATCCACTCTCCGCACAAGACCCGGAAAACGATGAGGAACGAGTGGAAGAAGTCCTTCATGTGCCAGCGGGGCAGAATACAGTCCCTGGAGATCTTGCAGACGCACGACTCGTAGTTCTTCCCGAACAGCTGCATGCCGACCACGGCGAAGATGAAGACGATGATGGCCAGAACCAGCGTCAGGTTCCCCAGAGCGCCCACCGAGTTCCCGATGATCTTTATGAGCGTGTTCAGCGTCGGCCACGACTTCGCCAGCTTGAAGACTCGCAGCTGAAGGAGAAGAAGAAGAGTGGTTTTCAATGATATTCCATATAAAACGCTCATGACAAAGCAATGCATTTTTAACATTCTGTCGAGTTGCAAAAAAGGCCTGATATTACCTAATTGCATTATGCTGAGATTAAAAAAAAAAAAAAGGTAGTTTCCAACACATAGTTTTTGATAAAATATTATTTTGTTATAAAAATAACAAAAGCAGCCAAAAGTCAAAAAGAAGTATTCAAAATGTATATAAATAAATAAATAAATAAAAGCTTTTAAAGAAGCATTGTATATAAATAAATAAATAAATAAATGAATGAATGAATGAATAAATTTTAACGAAGCATTCAAAATGTAAATAAATAAATAAATACAGCAAGTCTTTACAGAAGTATTCAAAATGTATACAAATAAATAAATAATAAGCAAACTTTTAAAGAAGCATTGTATATAAATAAATGTATATAACTAAATAAATTAATAAGCTTTTAACGAAGTAGTCAAAATTTATAAATAAATAAAGCATCCTTTATAGAAGTATTCAAAATATATACAAATAAATAAATAAAAGCTTTTAAAGAAGCATTGTATATAAATAAATTACTTAATTTTAAAGAAAAATTCAAAATGTATACAAATAAATAAATAAGCAAACTTTTAAATAAGCATTGTATATAAATAAATGTATATAAATAAATAAGCATTTAACGAAGTAGTCAAAATTTATAAATAAATAAATAAATAAAGCATCCTTTATAGAATTATTCAAAATATATACAAATAAATAAATAAGCAAACTTTTAAATAAGCATTGTATATAAATAAATGTATATAAATAAATAAGCATTTAACGAAGTAGTCAAAATTTATAAATAAATAAAGCATCCTTTATAGAAGTATTCAAAATATATACAAATAAATAAAAGCTTTTAAAGAAGCATTGTATATAAATAAATAAATGCATATAAACAAATAAATATATAAGCCTTTCAGAAGTATTCAAAATGTAAATGAATAAATACATAAAGCTTTTATAGAAGCATTGTATATAAATAAATAAATGTATATAAATAGATAAATATATAAGCTTTTAAAGAAGTATTCGAAATGTAAATAAAGAAATAAATGAATGTTTCAGTTGGACATTCATCTAACATTTTTTTAAATGTTTCGGAACGTTCAAAAGTAACATTCCAATAACGTTTGAAAATGACAAAACAGAATGTTCCCTGAACATTTCCATAAACAAGAAAAAAACATTTCTAAAGCTGAAATTGGACGCTTTAAATGTTCAGAAATAACATTTTCATAACTTAATGAGAAATGTTCTTGGAATGTACTCTTGTCAGCTGGGATTAAGGGCTTTTTAAGATTTCTAAAAAGAAACTACAAATGCAAATGAAGTGCGTTCTGAGCGTGTTTTACCAGTCTGAAGGAGCGCAGGACAGACAGACCCTCCACGTTGGACAAACCCAGCTCCATGAGACTCAGACTCACGATCAGACTGTCAAAGATGTTCCAGCCCTGCTGAAAGTAATAATACGGATCCAGAGCGATGATCTTCAGGACCATCTCCGCTGTGAAGATGCCTGTGAACACCTGAGAAGAACAGCAGCAGATTTACATTCATGCATCTGACAGACGCTTTTATCCAAAGTGACTGGCGTTAAATATCCACTTCAGTGCAATCCCCAGGGAATCAAACCGCTTGAGCTACAAGAATCTTATTTTTATGTACATTATGTAAAGAAATATATACATATTGTGTAAAGAATGTATAAATAATTGTATAAATGTAAATAAATTATGCATATAAATATATGCATGTGAATGTACAGTGGTGGCCAAAATCATTAGAACACTAGTATTTTCAGCAGCTAAAACAATGGTTATATATATATAAATAAAATGGTTTTGGTATATAAATAAATATATACGTCAATATATATATACATGTATTTACATTAGTTTTTACAGATTGAGACTTGCTTGAAAAACATGGTAAATGTTTAGTGTGATATTAAATCACTTCATGAATATACTTCATCTGCTGAGTAATTTAAGTAATATTAAATTAAAATAATACATTTAAATAAAAATTATTTTGAGTGCTTAATAGTCAAGCAAGCTTCATTTTCTTTATGCACAATATATTTTTTTATTTATTTGAAGTATATTTATTCTACTCAGGGTTGTTATTGTTAACTAAAACTATTAAAATCTTTTAAAATGAAATAAATAAAAAATACAGAAGAAAAATAAACAACTGGAAATTCTGACTAACTGAAATACGATTTCTAAAACTAAAAAAGATAATAGAAAAATAGAAAAAGCTACTAAAAACAAAAGCACATGACAAAAATTTAGCAAAAAAAAAAAGATTTTTAATCTGCTCATTTTTATTGTTAACTAAAACTATAAAATGGATGTGACCTGTTAATGTAACAGTTTTTTTTTCTTTAAATTAAATTTTCTACTTAATTTTTATGTTCTGCAGAGCACTGTACAATTATTGGCAGCTGCTGAAAGCATAATTAAATTATGCAAAATATTAAAAAAGCAAAGACGGAAGGGGCGGGGCATGTGTGTTTGTTTCCTACAGCTGCTCTGTTTCTTGTTTCTGGGAGTCGAGCGTTTGGATGTGACTGCGATACGTGACACGGAGGAGTCCCTATAAACATCTGAGAGAAACACGTCCTGTGAAGATGAGCAGAGCCCCTAATTACTGCTTTAATCTCACCAATAAACCCAGATCTGGAGGAACATCCACGGCCTCTGCTCGTGGAAACACGCTCCGCGCACATTTCAGCCCAACAAAACATAAACCAATGAATGAATGAATAAACAAATAAATAAATAGGCATGTTAATGTATATAGCACATTTCATACACAGTGGTCATTTAAAGTGCTTCACAGAAAAAAAAAAAAATTTTAATCATAAAAAGTTTAATAAGAAATAAAAAATACAATAAAAGAAGTAAACATTTTAGAAAATAATGAATTAGTTCAAATGAAATAATGTTATTATTATTATTATTATTATTATGCTATTATTTATCAAATTAAATCATGTTAGACATTAAAAACACATTAAAATAAATACGTAAATAAATTAAAAATGAATCTATTTTTAGGGTTATTTTCATGTTAATTAAACACATTCACCCCAAATTGGTAAATGTGGACATTTTAAATTTTATTTTTAAATTTTTTAAATTTTTTTGGTCATTCTCATTGTTCTCAACTGTGATTCTCATTAGATTCACAAATGAGAATTTAAATTTTAAATATTAAATTGAAAATACAAAAATTTAAATTTATTTAAATTTGTAATATTTTTAATGTTTAAATGTATTTTTTTTAATTAAACAACAAAATAAATACTACTATGATGCAGTGGTACAAAAAAAACTTTAATAAATAAATAAATAAATAATATAAAATAAAATAAAAGTAATGAATTTCAACAAGTAATTTATTATTATTATTGAATTTATAATTCTCATTTCTGAATTGTAATTCTCATTAGATTCTCTTTACTGTAATAATTAAATTACAATATACAATACAATTAAATATTAATATATTTAATATTTTATGTAATATTTTTATATTTACGTTTAAATTCCTACATTTTATTTAAATTAAACAGCACAATAAATACGTTGATGTAGTACAATTACATTTAAATGCAAATAATCTAAAAAAAAAAAAGTTTAAATTTTACTAAAGCATTTTGGGTGCTTAATAGTTATCTAGGCTTCATTTTCTTTGTGTAAAATATAATTTCTTATTTCTTTCGTCTGGTTTTGGGATGAAATATGAGCTAGACGTGTTCAGAGCAACGGACAAATAAAAAAACTAACTAACTAACTGAAATAAGTTAAAGTTCTAAAATTTCTAAAACTGAAATAAAAATAAATTAAAAGCTAAATAAAAACATATAAAAAACATATACTATAATATATAATATAATGCTACTAAAAATGAAAAAAAAGCACATAACAAAATTAAATATTAAATTTAGCAAACAATATAGATTTTAATTCTGCTTGTTGTTATTGTTAACGGAAACTATTAATTGAAATAAATCGGGAATAAAATAAAATGTAAATACAGAAAAAAATAGAGAAATCTGAACTAATTGAAATTAAATATGTTCAAAGTACTAAAAATACTAAAACTAAAATTTAAAAAATAATAAATGAAAGATAAACCAAAATATAAAAAAATGAAAAAAGCACAACAAAACTAAAAATGAAATATTAAATTTGGCAGTAAGGGTCTTGACACTGCAGACAATATGGATCTTTATTCTGCTCATTGTTCTTGTTAACTCAAACTATTAAAAATCTTTTTGTTAAGTGAAATAAATCTGTAATAAAATATAAATATTAGAAGAAAAAAAATTTTTTTTTAAATTGACAACTACCTAAAATAGTTATGTTGAAATAAAAACGAAGTAAAATAGAACATTTTTAATTGTAATTAATTTTTAAATCAAAATTATATGCGACAAAATCACATAAAATTTAACTAAAATTAAAATGAAAATTGAAAATAAAGAAGTAATTCAAAATATTAATAAATACTATAATATTACATAAATAACACTAAAATAACACAGATTCTACTCTTTGAACATGAGATTTTACATTCAAATAAAATAAAATAAAATTAAATAAAATTAAATAAAATTAAATAACAAATTGTTAAAAATAAATTATAAAAATAAATAAAATAATATAAATAATTTCAAAATATTAAATTAATTTAGTTTTCTTTAGAATTGATTATAAAATATGAGCCAAACATGTTCTTGACAGCCTTAGAGACATTCACACTTTAGCAAGGCTGGACAAACATTTCCAAAGAAGTTACAATATAGAAACCTTTTTAAAAAGGCTGCAAACTGTATGCAAAATCTAATATACACTGCATATTATATATCAAACTATGTTATTCTTCAGACTTTAGGATGAGTTTCGGTGAGTTTGAGTCTTCATCGCGGCTGGACAAACACAGGAAAGACTGAGGTGTTGCTGTCTGTAACTAACATGCTCTGCACTTTAATCTTCAGATGACAGAGTCGATAATGCTGTCAGTCATGCACAAACTACCCGTCACTCATGTGAAGAGACCGTATTGATCTGAACGTCCTCGTATGACTCCGTCTACACGATCTACATCCTCAAACACTAGCAATATTTCTGCAGTACACAGGCTTTATTCATTGCACACTCACTAGATTTGCTAATATGTGCCAAATGCATCCAGATTACACTGCGCTGGCTGCTGTTTCCCACAATGCAATGTGCTAAAGCTGACTTTCCAACCGGTATAACAAATAAACGTGATATCAACATCTGCTTCTTGACTTATTATTCAAGTGGACGTTTTATACAAGAATGTTACAGTTTTGGCCAATGTTTGTGTATTTTCATTTTCAGTAACTGTGTAGACTGATATTGAAATATCAGGGTTTGTTGTATTTATTCAATTAAAAAAATAAAATAAAATAATATATATATATATATATATATATATATAGAGAGAGAGAGAGAGAGAGAGAGAGAGTTTTGTATTTAATATAAATATTTACTATTTGATTATATTAAATTAATCATAAAATTTTAAAATGTATAAATATATCATTTATATGCATACATTATCATTTTGGGTTTTTAAAGTGCTTCACAAAAAAAATGTAAACATAAAAAGTTTATTAAGAAATAAAAAATACAATAAAAGTATGATTTTTTGTTTTTATTTATTATTATTTTTTTCAATAGAATAATATTTTATTCATCTGTGATGCATTAAACTGATCAAAAGTGACAGTAAAGACATGTATAATGTTACAAAAGATTTCTATTTCAAATAACTGCTGTTCTTTTAAACTTTCTATTCATTCGTGAATCCTGAAAAATAAAATATATCACGTTTTCCACCAAAATATTGTGCAGCACAACTGTTTTCAACATTGATGATAATCAGAAATGTTTGTTGAGCAGCAAATCAGCATATTAGAATGATTTCTGAAGATCATGTGACGCTGAAGACTGGAGTAATGATGCTGAAAATACAGCTTTGATCACAGAAATAAATTACATTTTAATAGATATTCACATAGAAAACAGCTGTTTTAAATCATAAAAATATTTGACCATTTTTACTGTATTTTGATCAAATAAATGCAGCCTAAATGCAGAAGAGACTTCTTTCAAAAACATCAAAAAAATCTTACCGAGCCCAAACTTCTGAATTTTAGTATGCATTTATATAAATGCATTCATTAAGACATTAGGCAGCTTTAATCACCTTTTTGGTAACTTCATGACTTAACTGACCACGGCATTGCATGCGCTTGACTCGCGCGTGGCGCTGAAGTGAAGTGGAGCGCGCGTCTGAAACGCCTCCCGTTCTCAGTCGTTCTGCGACTGAATAAATGCACTTCTTGTCAAGAGAAAAAGTGACAGAAGCAGCAGTTGTGAGTGGGGTGGCCAACCCTAGCCCCGCCCCTGCGTTAATTGCGTTAAATATTTTTAACGCGTTAAACTGAAAAAATTAATCGCCTGCGTTAACGCGTTAATTTTGACACCACTAATTTCAATATATCAATATCAATAAATATAGCAAAACATAATAATACATGCTCACCAGGTTCCCCACAGACAGCATGCGGTTGAACTCATCTGTCATGGGATAGTGCTCCAGAGCCATGAAGAGCGTGTTGAGAACGATGCAGATAGTGATGGCCAGATCCAGGAACGGATCATTCACCATGAACTTCACCCACTCCTTCACCTTCAGCCAGCTGGGGCCACACGTCCACACCAGGTACTTGTGTGCAAACACGTACCAGCATGGGTGACACTTCTGCTGCGCCTCCTCCAGCTCTGTCAGCGCAAAAACAACCAGCGGAGAACAAATTACCCATGCATTCTTACAAACAAAGCTTCATTTTCTTCACAAAAACCACATTTGGCTTTACAGGGTGCTTGAACTGACCATATGTGACCCTGGACCATACCAGGACCAAACCAGTCATAAGGTCAGTTGAATAAATAAGCTTTCCATTGATGTATGGTTTGTTAGGATAGGACAATATTTGGCCGAGATACAACTATTTGAAAATCTGGAATCTGAGGGTGCAAAAAAATCAGAATATTGAGAAAATCACCTTAAATCACCAACATTAAAGTTGTCCAAATGAAGTTCTTGGCAATGCATATTACTAATCAAAAATTTAGTTTTGATATATTTACGGTAAGAAATTTACAAAATATCTTCATGGAACATGATCTTTACTTAATATCCTAATGATTTTTGGCATAAAAGAGAAATGGATAATTTTGACCCATACAGTGTATTGTTGGCTATTGCTACAAATATACCCCAGCGACTTGGGTCACATATATGTTTATATATGTGATATATATATCTTTGTGCTCCAGGGTCACATATATGTTCACAAGATCACATACAAGTTCACAATGTTTCATTATAAACCCTTCAGATCACTCCGTTGAGCTGTATTCTTGTTTATGGACACTTTAAAACAAAACAAACCGTTTTTTTTTTTTAAGTTATAAAGGTTCTCCTGTTCATGTGGCAAGTTCAGCCATTTTACTAACTTTAACCATTTTGTAAACCCCGCCCTCCAAAGACATGCCAGCCAATCCAATGCCAGCAAGCCTGAGAGTGCACAATGATTGACAGGCGTCTAGTGTTTCTGATTGGTTCTCCATGTAGTTTGTTCCTGTTTGAAGACTGTAATGTAGTCAGAGACACAGGTTTATTTCTCAGGGCTCATTTCATTGATAATCTGTCAGGTAGGAGGAATTTTATGCATAATATTAAAGCATAAATTTACTGTAATGTAAGGATGGGCTGTTTACCTGTCTGCATGAATAGATTAAATCAAAACATTTACTTAAGCCATGATACAGTGATTTTATAGTCTATTTAGCAGTCATAAACATATACTAAAGAAATGTTTCAATGCATTTGCATTCAATAACTACCGACAAAAGTGTAATTTACAGCTCAGCATTGAAATTCTTGGCTTGTAGCAAACACCACATGAATAGGTCACGATGAAAGGTTAGCATGTTGTTTTTCTACCCAACCGAGGATGAATCACACTTGACAAGCGAGGATGCGTGTTTAGGAGGAACCTGTAAGCGCTCTAATGAGAAATGAGACAGAGACGGACATCTTGTGGCTCTAGATTTGGCTCTGCAGCAGTAATGTGCTACTAACTCCTGCGATGAGCCGCTGCGTTGGCATAACATAATTTTCTTAAATATATACATGCATGTGTTTGTATTTATATATACATAATAAATATACACAATATGCACACATATAGTTTGTAAACAAAACTTTTATTTTGGATGCGAATAATCGCGATTAATCGCTTGACAGCACTAATATAAATACATATATACTAAAATAGTAATTAAATTTAAAATAGTAATTAAATTTATTTGATGTGTCTAGGGTGTCTGGATTGTTTCTAGGGGGTTGCTAGGGTATCTGCATTGTTTCTAGAGGGTTGCTAGGGTGTCCGAGTTGTTTCTATGGGTTTCTAGGGTGTCTGCGTTGTTTCTAGGGGGTTGCTAGTAGGGCTGCACGATATCGATTATCGATTATCAAAATATCGCAATATGCATATCGCAAGGGCGTGCGATATCTGAATCATTTTAATAATAGGCTACTTAAATCAAAACGTTGCAAAAGGACAAAGTTTTAGTTCAGAAGTTGTAGTGATTCTTTCTTTTCCAAGAAAGAATGTGAAACAAATTGGTTATATCATTTTCATTTTTAAATATTTGAAAATATACTTGAAATTGATTTTACACACTTTAAGCAATATCGTATCGCATATCGAATATTGCATTTTTTAACAAGGTATCGCATATCGCATTTTTCTTCAATATCGCACAGCCCTAGTTGCTAGGATGTCTGGGTTGTTTCTAGAGGGCCTGTGTTGTTTCTTGGGGGTTTCTAGGGTGTCCGAGTTGTTTCTTGGGGGTTTTTAGGGGTTGCTAGGGTGTCTGGGTTGTTTCTAGGGGGTTGCTAGGGTATCTGCATTGTTTCTAGAGGGTTGCTAGGGTGTCTGGGTTGTTTCTAGGGGGTTGCTAGGATGTTTGGGTTGTTTCTAGGGGGTTTCTAGGGTGTCTGGGTAGTTGTGAGGACATTGCTAGTGTTGATTTGCAGTTGCTAAGGCATTCTGGGTTGTCTCAAGACTTGTTTTGTGGTTGCTAGGGTGTTCTGGGTAGTTGCTCGTGTATCTGGGCAGTTCCTGGGTGGTTGCTAGGGTGTTGCTAGGTTAGTTGTTGAGGCAAATACAGATACTTCATCATACTATTCGCTTGTTCAAGCTGCTCATTATTTAGGTTAAAAAGGTGGTACAGTTATTATTCAGCTATAAAATCATTAATGTACTGATGTAATAAATTAATGTACTCCTGTCATAGAAAATGTGAATTTATATGATTAAAACAGTGCACAGTACAAAATTCAGGCCCTGAATAGTAAAACTAGGGTAGAAACTATGATTACGAATGACTATGAATTTCTGTAAAGGGTATGTCTGAGTATTTTTGCAATACGGCTGTTCCAGTGTCAGCGTATTTATATACAAATAAATCAGTAAGCGGTAGCTGGCGATCTATCACACATGTATGTAAGCATCATCTGACATAACGCACTCATTACAGTAAATTTGGCCTGCTGCTGTCCTACCGTGTCAGCTTTCACATGCGTGATAATGAGGATTGGCATTTTCTTATGCTAGCAGATCTAAACTCAGACCCTGTGAGCTCAGGCCTTCTTCTGTTAGCAACTTTAAACACCTCTTTGCCGTCTCGTCTTGCTGTCTGACAGACTCACACCTGAAGCGCGCGCACAAGCCGCATCTCACACAGCGTCTCTTCAGTTCTGCCGTTTTTATACAGTCTATGGTTCTGCCGCACACGTGCAAAGCGCACGCACACACACACACACACAGAGAGACGTGTTTCAGACGGTGCGCGAACACCGAGTTGATTCAAGGCCTTCTTCTGTTAGCAACTTTTGTGCTGACCAATCAAGAGTCCAGAAAAGACTCCATTTTTTTTTCACAGGTGACATTTCATTTCCTCTAGTGAGGAGAGCACACTAACCACATGACAGAAAACTGTCTTCAATTGATTTTGATGAAGAATCCCGATGTTTGTGTTCATAAAAGATGGCAATAATCTCATGTTTCTCCGTGTTACTTCACTTTAAGTACTACAATGATAACTACTGTATATTAGCAAAGAAACCGTGTCAGCTTTCACATGCGTGAAAATGAGGATTGGCATTTTCTTATGCTAGCAGATCTAAACTCAGACCCTGTGAGCTCAGGCCTTCTTCTGTTAGCAACTTTTGTGCTGACCAATCAAGAGTCCAGAAAAGACTCTTTTTTCACAGGTGACATTTCATTTCCTCTAGTGAGGAGAGCACACTAACCGCATGACAGAAAACTGTCTTCAATTGATTTTGATGAAGAATCCCGATGTTTGTGTTCATAAAAGATGGCAATAATCTCATGTTTCTCCGTGTTACTTCACTTTAAGTACTACAATGATAACTACTGTATATTAGCAAAGAAAATTACATTAGTGTCTATGCCAGTGGGCAATATATTTTTGGTTATTATAAGCGCATACTGTTGTTTTGTCATCTGTTGCTTTAAATGCTCACACTCTTTCGGTTAGATTCTGATTGGCTGTCAAAATTTTTATTATTCGTTAGCTGGAAAAAAATAGTTCTGAAAGTGATTCCAACAATATTGTTCCTCTGCATCGTTATTGTTGTAGTTGTGATGAGGACTTATCTATAAAGATAATTAGCATCCACATTGGCAGATGATAATATTCTGTTTATTATAAGTGCAAATTGCTGTTTTGTCTTCTGCCACTTTAAATACCTAATTTCGTTAAACTCAGGTGGATTCTGATTGGCTGGAAAAAATATCATATCATATCGATATCGTTCCCCTACGTTGTTATTGTTATAGTTGTTGTGTGGACTTTACCATCCTCGTAGAATTCAAATAATTATTAAAATGTTATAGTTATCGTCATAGTTACTGTCCTTGGTGTGAACGGACTTTGAACGATAACTATTAAGATAATTAGCATTCACTTCGGCATACAAAAACATTTTGTTTATTATAAGCGTGCGCTGCTGTTCTGACGTCTGCCACTTTAAACACTCAATTTTGTTAAACTCAGGTGGATTCTGATTGGCTGGGATAAAATCGTTCTGAAAGTGATTCCAACAGTATCATTTTCTGTGTTGTTATCGTTATACACAATGAAAGCGCTATATAAATGCCTTAATTAATTCATTCACTCATTAATTAATTAATTTAACTATTAAGATAATTAGCATTCACTTTGCTATATGATAACATTCTGTTTATTATAAGTGTGCACTACTGCTTTGTCGTCTGCCATCTTAAATACGTAATTTCGTTAAACTGCTGGAAAAAAGAGGTCTGAAAGCGATTCCAACTATATCGTTCCACTGTGTACGATAACTATAAATATAATTAACATCCACATCAGTGTACGATGTTTTTCTGTTTATTATAAGCGTGCACTTCCGTTTCGTCATCTGACACGTTAAATTCTCAAGCTCGTTAAAGTCGGGTGGATTCTGATTGGCTGTCAATGTTTCTATCATTCGTCAGCTGGAAAAAATATCGCTCTGAAAGTGATTCCAACGATACCGCTCCTCTGCGTTGTTATCGTTACAGTTGTGTGGACATTTAGTTCCCTATAGTTTCCCAGCGGGAGCGTCGCAAACAATGAAAATGAATTCATCACTTGATTTATTTATACACAAACTTCTACAGGCGGTCTACTCTTTCGTTTCCTAAAGCACTTTGTCCTGATGGGCATAACGGATTTGAAACTGCGAGGACATTCTGTTACGCTATTATTTAGTCGCTAAAACGCTGAGGGAAGAGTCTGGCTTCTTGTGCCACCCAGGTGATCTCACAGCCTGGCTGTGTCATGATGAAGCAGCAGTGGGGAGGGTTACACCTTTCCTCTGAATAACAACAGCGAGCGGCGTCTCGGGGGACGATATTAACCGCGAGCAGATGGAGACACTTCTCCTGTCCTCGCACGCACCTTGCTGGAAAAGATTTCATGTGGATTTTATGTGCATATGGAGTTGTTTCAGGGTTAATATCTCGTCGCTGGCTCGTGTGTGATTGTGGTTGGTTTGTTTTTGTTGTGTTGTGTTTCTGTCAGGCGCCGTGTCTTACCTTCCATGGCGTCAGTGATGTAGCTGGTGGCGCTCAGGGTCCGGTGTCGGCCCTCCTGGGGCAGCTGGGGCAGCAGCATACTGCTCAGCTCATTGCTGGAGTTGTGTCCCTGAAAAACCAACAACAGCAGTCACTTAAATGGCTTCATAATGAAATAAACAAGAGCAGATTTATAGCATTCACTGTTCTCTCTTTTACTTCAATTCACTGTATGGTGTTTTACATATACTATGTATCATACCAAAGCTTTAGAATGCAAAAAAAAAAAAAAGATCAAGGTTTATGGTTGCTAGGGTGACCAGGTGGTTGCTAGGGTGTTGCTATGTAGTTGCTAAGTGTTCTAAATGATTTTAAGCACATTCACTAATAATTGCTTAAATTATTCGTATTTATACGCACATTCAAACTTTTCACGAAAACTGTAATTCACAACACGTGAATTTGTTCTTAACCTCGTCCTAATGTTAGTGAATTTGGAGTATTCTAAATGACGTGCACGAGGTTAGTAATTTCCATAAGACACGCCCAGATCATCTCCATATAAGGGCTTTCCGCACACGCTTTCCTTACGCCTTTCGTCGCTCTCGTCAAAAATACTCCACGCAACCCCATATGACGTGTGCTGTCTACAGATGCGCTCTCGCCAGATCTTTGAGCAATGCCAAACGCGCAGTCCTCAAAATCAGTTCATTTACAATAAAACACCTTTTATACAGACCCATTTTACAGAGCTTTCATTAGCCGGCTGTACATGCGAGTCATTCAGAGAAACCTCGCAGTGCAAGCTATAGCTTATCTATCGCAGCTTTTCTTACTCTTTCACTGTATAAGATGAAATAATTTTAAAATGAAATATATACATTTTATTGTAATTAAATATAATATATAATTATTATCCTAAGATAAAACATACATTATATATAGCTATATATATTATACTGTATACGTAGATTATTAAGACCGGACAGAGCGTGAATTTTGTGTACGTGTGCTTTCAGTTGTTCCTATATTTTTTCTTACATTTAGAATACATTTTAGTACGAAAGATTTAGTGAATCATGATTTGTTTATGAAAATGTTCATATGCAGGTTTCACGCACAAACTGGTTTCTAAGGTGTTGCTATGTGGTTGCTACCGATGCTGGTGATTGCAGGGGCATTTCTAGTACTGCTGTGCAGTTGATACCTGTTCTGAATGATTTTTAAGAACATTGCTATGTGTTAGGGTGGTTGCTAGGGTGTTGCTATGTGGTTGCTAGGGTATTTGGCTGATTGCTAGGATGTTGCTATGTGGTTGCTACAGTGTTGTTGTTGTTGATTGCAGGGGCAATTCTAGTGTCGCTGTGCAGCAGCTACCTTTTCTGAATTATTTTTAAGCTTGTTCCTGTACACTAGGGTGTTTGGGTGGTTGCTAGGGTGTTGTTATGTGGTTGCTAGGGTATTTGGCTGATTGCTATGATGTTGCTATGTGGTTGCTACAGTGTTGTTGTTGTTGATTGCAGGGGCAATTCTAGTGTCGCTGTGCAGCAGCTACCTTTTCTGAATTATTTTTAAGCCTGTTCCTGTACACTAGGGTGTTTGGGTGGTTGCTAGGGTGTTGCTATGTGGTTTCTGCAGGGTTATGTGAGTGACACATTGTTATGCGGTTGTTAGGGTCTTTCAATGGTTGCTAAGGTGTTGCTATGTGATTGCTACAATGTTTTGGGGACGATTATAAGGGCATTGCTATGCAGTTGTTACATGTTCTGAATTATTTTAACCACATTGTTATGCAGTTGCTAGGGTGTTTAGATGGTTTATAAGGTGTTGCTATGTGGTTACTACAGCATTGTTGGTGATTGCAGGGCATTTCTAGCATTGCTGTGCAGTTGCTACCTGTTCTGAATGATTTTTAAGAATATTACTATGTGTTAGGGTGGTTGCTAGGATATTTGGGTGATTGCTAGGGTGTTGCTGTGTGGTTGCTACAGTGTTGTTGGTGATCGCAGGGGCATTTATAATGTCATTGTGCAGTTGCTCCCAGTTCTGAATGATTCTTTAAGCACACTACTATTCGTTATGGTGTTGGATGGTTGTTAGGGTGTTGCTATGTGGCTGATAGGGTATTTGGGTGGTTGCTAGGGTGTTGCTATGTGACTGCCACAGTGTTCTCTGTGGTTGTAAAGGTGTTGCTGTGCAGTTCATACGTGTTCTGAATTAGTTAAAAGCACATTCATGTGGCTGCTAGAGTGGTTGCTAGAGCCACTGAGTGGTTGCTAGGGTATTGCTCTGCAGTAGTTAAAGTGTAGTTCACATTTGCAAGAGTATTGCAAGTGTTGCTGTGCAGTTGTGAAGTGCTCTGAACGATGTTGAACACATTGCTATGTGGTTGCTAGGGTGACTGGATGGTTGCTAGGTGGTTGCCAGGGCGTTACTATGTGGTTGTTAAGGAGTTCTGGATAGCTCCACCCTCAATTCTTTCTGATTTTCTTGTCTCTAGATAAGGCTCAGCAAACAATATTTTATGCAGTATTATTGACTCTGCAAACACACACACACACACACACACACACACATTAATCTACAACACTCCTAATGGCATTTAAAAATCAATTCTGTTTAGTGCAAAACAAAAGCCCAATAAAAGCAGCGATTAACCCTCAGCAGCAGAAGTCTTCAGTGATAACGGGTGTTTTGGGAAATGCGTTAATTTTTGTCAAATGCTTTTATCCATTTGCTGTTTTAATGTTTTTAATCTGAGGTCTTCGAGTCAATGATATGATGTCTGTCTGTAACAATGACCCTCTGATTATATAATGTGTTTTTGATCGCAGGTAATCAAAGGAATGATGCAGAAGCGCGGCCCACCAGAACGCCCACTCCTGCTGTTCAGACGAGCGGGAAACACCGTTGTGTGTGTGTGAGTGTGTGTGTGTGTGTGTGTGTGTGTGTGTGTGAGACGCTTATTCAACATCTGTTGCTACGTTACCATGACTACATCACCAAGACAACAGGGTATCCGTGCCTCCATCACACAGTCCAGACAGTTTTCAGACTCCTTTCCTTTCTGAGTAATTCAGATATTTCTGGCAGGATGTCATACTTCCCGTTTCAAACGCTCGTATGAAAGGAAAATCACTTTGAATACATCAAAAATGACTCTCTAGACTGCATTTAGATTAAATGGAGAGCAAACTGAAATTTTGCTGCTTCTTAGATGAGAAAAAGACCTCAGTAATCTCACATGTGTCTCTCATTAGACTATGACTTGTCTACAATAAAGTAAAAAAAATCAAGAGGTCTCAGTATTAACTATATATTTCTCAATATCAGAGCTGCTCCACGTTCATTTTATAGTTCTCTGTTCTTGCAGTACATCAATAAGTGTCTCATTTGTGTCTGTTTGAATTTTTTTCATAAAGGATTTTATGCAAAAAAGATCGAAAAAATCCTTCCAAGTTATTTATTTGATTTATTTTACTTATTTATTTTACTTATATATATATATATAATGTAATTTAAACATATGTTTTATGTTCGGTTTTAAAAATATTTTAATATGTATTATATTTAATATAAATTAATGATAATAATAATAATAGCATTCATTATCTTCTATCTATTATTACCGGTTTCTTTACATGTATCGTACAATATGCATCTATGGAAATCACTTATGCAGTCACTTATGTAACATATGCGTGCAGTTATTGCTAATTAAGCATGCAGTGCATTTCTGTTTAATGCGTGGCAGTATATGGCATCTGAAGAGGTTCATATGGCGTTTCGGTCAGTGCTGTTGAGTACACTGATAAGACGGCATTCTGGGAAGTGTACTTGTGTTTCCAGGAAAAAGCAACGTCAAGAGACGTCTCTCTCCAATCACAGATCCCTCACTGCACGCTCTGAGTCATGTTTTGATAAATATGTATGTACTGTATGTGATAAAATAGAGATATATAAAACATAAACTCCACATACCTGCTCAGAACATGTCTGGCATGCATTTCACCCCAAAATAAATAAATAAAAATAAATAAATAATTAAATAAATAAATAAA